TGAAATGCCACATTCGAAGGTGACGTCAGCCTCGATCTTTGCTGCTGCTGCTGTTGTTGTTGATCGCCCATGCTCGTTCTTACAACGAATCGCGTTTGCTGATTATTCCCTTGGCGCATTATATCGTTCGTAACGTAACCCACAGGACTGGTTACCATTCTACGGTGTTGGGGGGAGGTCATACGTGGCGCTGGAGGAGGGAGACATACCTGAGAGGGGGACTGCACGGGTCCGGGGCTTCCCTCGCTTTGCGATTGTGGTGTACCGATACGAGGAGACATGCCACTGGGCGGGGGTCCGCCTCCAGGGCTCTGAATTAAACTAGCGACTGAACTGGGACCTGGAGAGTGAGAAACAAGCGGTCGCGGACTCTGAAGGGGAGAATTATGCTGGGACGATGTCATTGGAGACGCTGTTGGTGACATCATAGGCGAATGAGACGCGTTAGAAGAATGAATTGGTGAAGACACAGGGGGGCCTAAAGGCGAGTGTGTCGGTTGATTGCCTGTACCAATAAGAAGGGGAGATTGGCCAGGACTTGGTCGTTGCTTGGCCTGTTGCTTATTGCGATATTCCTTTAAACGATGCCGAATTAATTACATTTTCAAAATAAAAAATAGTTATAGCAATAAAGCATACCTGCATTAGAATAGTATGTTGTCGGCTCTGTTTTCTGCTTGATTCGAGGTGTTTCTGAAGTATAGACTGCTCTGAAGAAATCCTCTGCAGTTCTTTGGCATCGACATCTGTCAGCTGATTTCCAGACTTCCTCAACTGTCTCTGTTTGCTATTCAAAGACTGTAACAACCAAATCATTAAATCCTGTACAAATTAATTTATTTCTCATGTATTACCTTTCTCGATTTTCTCAACTTTTGTACTTCTGTCTCGTAAAATTTTAGTTGCTGGGATAAGATCGTGTTTTGATTGTTCAACCATTGATCGTACACCATATGTGCCTGTCTGTCTTGTTCGGTTACGACGTTTTCAGGGGGCAAAGAGGGTGCCGGCAACAGCGAAACGTTGAACATAGGCACTCTGGATGTCATATCGGTCGGGGGCTGGGGAGTAGGTGCAGGACTCGGCCTCGTAGGACTTTGCTGCCACTGATTTGCTTGCTGTGACTGTTGAGCCCCAAAATTCACCTGACCACTATTCTGGATGCCTTGCACAGGCAAAAGACCTTGGGCTAACAAAAATAGTTTGTTTTCAAGCAGTACTATTACCGATTTCATGTAACTAATGTACTATTTTAATTTTTACCTGGTAGTCCTTGTTGTTGGCTGGTTGGTGTGGCCCTAATTCCCCCACTACTAAATACATCTGCCTTAAGTCTTTCAAAATCGTGTTCGCTTAAGAGACCCGACCTAGAGGGCGTCGAAGGTCCCGTTTCTTTAGTCTGGGACTGCAACTGATTTTCCTGTTCCCTTTTTTCTTGCTCTAGCAATTCTTCAAGAAGTAAGGGCTGTTCCTAATTAAACAATTGGATAAACTCAATCGTACCGATTAAAACTGCGTAAAGTTTACCTATTAATTTTTTTATTGTATATTATCTAAAAAATCTTTCATAACTTGTGAAAAGAGTAATCATATTTTTATTACTTGATACTAAAGGATAAGTACAAGCAAACAATTTTTACCAATTCAGTTTCGTTTAAATAAAAGTATACTTAATCCCATTCATCAAATGATTAAGATACAAAAAGTATTCTTATAAAACTATGTATTATTTGTTGCTTCATGCTATCGCAATCTAAATATTTAATAACAAGAATTTAAAAAAAAGCATGCAATAAAAAAAAAATAATACCACACACTAACATTATTCTTAGCTACCACCAACCTATAAGTAAAATGGACCTTCAATAAATAAATGAATAGAATAATTACTGTCTTTACTGATAGACTATTTTAAGCAATGGAGGGGCGTTGTCTCACCTGAAGGAGCATGGGTCTCCGTTGCAGGTGAGGCGGTAAAGGCATGGCCTGAAGAGGCGATGGATACATATACCCCTGCGGCAGGTGGCTCAGCGACCCGGGGGGCACTGAACCCATGCGATACCCCATCTACCACAAACATGCAAGCAACACC